ATATAATGTATAAACATCATTCATAATAACAAATTATTAATTTGACTTTTTTATTTTTATTTTATTGTTTTTTTTAAAGAATTAATTAACTAATTGATTGAAAATAAATAGAAGAAGATACACAGTTCTGAGAATAGAGAGTTAAAAGGAAGTTAATTATTATTAATTTTTATTTAAGTAAAATAAGTCATGATTAAAATTTATAATTTAGAAAAGAAGTTAAAATAATTTTATTTAGTATTATAAATTAATTTTATAATAAATGTCATTTTTTTTGATTAATTTATCATTAGTTAACAAATTAAAAGAAGAACTAAAAAAGTTGATAATTATTATTTGTTTCTATGAGCCAAGACTGTCTTATAGTTACTTCAGAAGGTAATTCAATTGTTTGTAATGTTAATGTACCAGATGAAGTTTTTGTAGCAGGAAAATCATGGATTGGTATATATGTAGTTAATAGAGAAAAAAATGAACATTACCATAAAAGTCAATATGTTGCATCAGCAACGTCAGTGATTAGATTTAATACATTAACAGATGGTATTTATGATGTAAGATATTTTAAAGAGAAATATGAAAAATGTTTTAATACACGTGTTTCAATTGGACAATTAGTTATTCCCAAATACACAGTTAGTGATATAACTTCCAATGAATATAAACTTCATTTAACATTTAATCAAGAACAATTACTTCCTGGAGATTGGTTTGGATTATTTAAAACAAGTTCAATGAGTCAAAAACATCCAATTGTTCAAATGAGTGTTGATCCAAAACAAAATGAATATGATATTGACCTTCTTCCATTAAATTTAGAACCTTATTACTTTTGTTCTGAAAATGGAATTTTAACAGCCAAACAAGAACGCTTTGAAATTAGATATTATCGTTCAGGATGTACTTGTTATAATGAAAGAGCAATACACACTAGACTATGGCCAAGTACATTTTCAATGAATTTATATAGTTTTGTTCCTTCAGGCATTTGTCCTCTTAATGAAATAACAAAGGGTGCATTATTAGTGAATATTAATAATATAAATAATGAGATTAAACTTATTTATTGTTCAAATGTTAAAGACTTTGAAATTCAAATATATAATGAAAATGAGTTAATTTATAAAAACGTATATCAACCTCGATCCAAGGAAATAACTATTAGTTTAAGTCAAACATTAATTGCACCAAGTATTGAAATTCGATTAGTTTGTTTAGCAACAAATCATATCCTTGAAAAAAAAGAACATAATATGAATTAATTGAATTATTCTGCATCACTTGTTTCTGATAATGCATTTGGAGAAGTAGATCGTTCATCTACAATTTTAGGAGTTTGAATAGAAGTGTTTGACTCTGATTTCTTTAATTCTTTAACACTTTCATCAACTCTTTTTGAGTACTTTTTAATAAAAACTTCAAAATAAAAATTAGCACCATTTGAAATAGCCCAAGTAACACAGAAAAGAATCCATAATAATTCTAAGTATTGATAATGATAATAAATGAATGTAGGAAGAATAGTTATTATAGTGTAAATAAATTGAACAGTTATTAAAATAACTAATGGTCTATCTTTAAACCCTTTCTTTAATAAATAAAGATAAACTGGATGTGGATGTTCTTGACTTAACCAAATAAGTGATGTAATATAATGATTCTTTTGAATAGTTTCTTTTTTAAATCCTTCTGTAATAATTAAATAAATAATTTGCCATAAAATATAAAGGAGAGATGGAATAATTAAACCATTCATTATTGTTAATTGTGGTACTGTAGTTAATACATACCATCTAATACAATAAATTACTAATCCTGGAAATAGATGAATATAAACACTTGTTAAACGATCTAAATCATGAAATACTAATGAATTTCTCCACATTGGAATTGCTGTTAACAAAGGGCCATGAGAAAATACGAAAGCTATTTGGAATAATGGTGAAATATATTCAGTATTTAAAGAAAAAATACAAAGTAGAGTTATAATTTGACAGAAATAACAAAAATCAATCATAAAGTATTGCCATCCATTCTTTTTGTAAATAAAATAACGAGCTCCTAATAATGGAAGAATTAAAATAATATAATAATATGGCATAAATTGTGGAAGTGCTGACAAAATGTGTTGAGTAAGTAATAATACTAATACACCACAAACAAATGAAACTTTATCCAATGTCTTTAAAAATGGTTCTGATTCCATTAATTTATTTAATTTGTTTTGGTATTTGTCAATAACAGAAAGTCCATGTTTATCCATCAAACGAGAAATATATTGACGTTGGAATTCTCTTTGATATTTTTCTTCAGAAGAAGTAGACATAAAACCGTTAATACTTTCTTACTTTTTTAAGTTCTTTCGTTAATACTGTTCTACAAAAAAATAAAAATCAGAGGTTAATAGAAAAACAATCTACAAAAACGAAATACCACTTTCTATTTTTTCTTTTTTTTTGTAAAATAGAGTTATATATAACAAAAAATATTATTTTAGGGTTGAAAAGAGGTTCACAGAATATCTTCAATAAGAAAGTTCTTTTTTCTGAAATGAATTGTAAAAAATAAAAGAGGAATCGAAACTAATTGTTTAACCAAAAAAAGAAACAAATAAAAATAGTAAGATTAATGATTGAAATTATGGAATGTTTTGTTTTTAGATAAGGAGATAAGAACAAAGGAAACTTGAGTGAATGGAATTAGAGTCATTTCTCTATTTCCGAAAACATGAATAACGAGAAAGATAGTTCCAAAAATAAATACATCCAATAAAGAGTTTAAAACTATTCAAAATGAAAAAGTAAATTCCAATGAAAAAGCTGTTCATAAATGAAGAACTGAAAGTGACGGATGAAGGTATTTAGAGATTGTTGCAAAGATTAGAACTATTTTCACTTTTAGATGGACAGCACAGAGAAACCAGTAAGAAATGCCCGAAGACGAAGAGAAAAAATTGAAAAACCAGAAAAGGATTATGAAATGCTACAACAGTCATTACTTATTGCGTTAGCATCACCATACTGCGAAATTAGTTTATCTAAACCACTTACAAAAACAAAAACAATACCACCAATCTTTAAGATTCAGAATATAAAATTTGAAAAAGAAGAAATGGATTTTGGTAGTGTTGTTGAAGAAAAAACTAAACAAATTGTTTCAAATGAAGTAAATCATGGAATCGATGAAAATAAAGCAAAACGCCATAGTGAGATAAATAGAATTAGTATTGCAGTAAATATGTTATTTGATATTTGTCTTGAACTTGGATATTTCTTCACTTTAAAAAAATCTAGGAAAATGTCTTCTACAATAAGAATCGATCGTATTGAACAAGTCTATTTAAATGGTTCATTAATTCTATCTAAAAATCAAGTAAAAGAATCAAGTTTTAAAGCATATAATATTCTAAATGCCCTTTTTGATACTAAAGAAACTATTGTTATTCCTCAAAATTGTTATGAGTTAAAAGAAGTAATTCCTTCTTTATCATAACTTTCTTGATTTTAAATTTATGTAAACTTTAATAATAAATCCGTTTAATTGATATTATTCTTTCTTCATCTCTTCTATCTCCTTTTTCTTATCCCTTTGTTAAATTCCATAATTGATGTTTTTTATCCCATTTTTTATTAACAAAAAATAAAATATTTATTCTTCTTTTTTTTTTTACTAAAAAACAAAAACTTAAACCTCAAATTGTGAAAAAGTAATGAATAAACTTAAAATAAATCATTTATGTCATCTCATTCAAATACACAAACACCTATTGTTAATATAAAACCAGTCGATCAAAAATTCCTCAAATATCCAATTCCATCTGATTTACCATATTATCCATTTGGTAAAGATATTCAATCATTACCAATTTCTGTTTTTAACTTACCTTTTAGTAAACATTCAGAAATACCTGAATTTGAATGTTATGAAGGAAAATATGATAAATTTACTCTTGAAAAAATAACAAAAAAAGTTCCTATTTCTGTATCAAAGATTATTAAATATCAAGCATATAATTTTAGTGGTATTGATAGTATTTGTCATGGTCTTATAAAAGAAAAAATTAATTCATTAGAATATTTACATCGAACAAATCAATTGGATTCATCTATTAAATTCGCCTCAATTAGTAAAGAACTTGTACTTCAAATTTTACAATTTTATAGAAATGAACCAGAAATTATTATTACACCATCTCTTTCTGGAGCTATTCGTATGTTAGCAGAAGAAAAAGGAGATGACTTATATATATTTTTTGAAAGACTTGATGTTTATAATATTTATGCCATCTTTGTTATATTATGGAACCAAGAAACTTCAAAAAAGATTACTAAACTTTGTATAAAAAAGTCTTTTGGTACACAGATATTAGATTATTATAATCAAACATCAAATGAAAAAACTAAATCAATTTGTCTTCAAACTCTCCTTTTAGTATTATTTAGAACAAATAATCCTTGTGGAATAACAAAAGACATGGGTGTTCAATTTATTGCATCATTAATCAAACAGACAGAATCTTTACCAAAAACTCTTTGTGATTTTTCTTATTGCATTGTTTATTTATTAACATCTTTTTATCCTGTTCTTCTTAGTATATTTGAATCTACACAATTTCAAACTATTGTTTCTATTGTATCTTTTTGTCCTACTGCTTTATGTGTTTTAAAAAAAATAAAGAAACCTTGTTATCACTTACTTAATATTACTGCTTCAACCACAAGTGTTAGAATATTATTTGGACATTGTTTTAAATATACTAACCAATTATATTTAATAGAAGATTTAGTACTTCGATTAGTTAATTGCATTTGTTTATATTCTCCATTTCCATATGGTTATGAATCTGAAACATTATATGGGATGTGTTATTTATTATATGGACTGATTAAAACACAATGGGATCAAGTTGAAAATAAACAAAAAATATTTGAGAGTATACTTAACTTTGTTCTTCCACAAATTAATAATTCATATAGTTCATCTTATTGTGATCAAACAAAAGGAACATTTTGTTCTAAATCAAGAAGACTATTATTTAAATGTATTATGATAATTATTAGTCAAACTAAAGATTTAACAGAGTATCAAAAAGCTAAAAAATATTTAAAACAGTTTTTTAGTCATGAAGGTTCGTTAACAATTGAAAACAATCATTCACATTTAAGTTGTCAATATGAAAAAGGATATTCTAATGTTTATGAATGTTTACTTCATTCAAAATATATTCAAAATATTATTTTTAAAGGAGATATGGATCAAAATACTTTAGGAAAATTAACTAAGTATTTGTATGGATACAACACTACTGTTTTAATTCATGAAACAATGAAATTAAATGTTAATAAAATTCTTGATGATATAATCCAAAAAATTGGTAGGACAGATATTTGTTTAGTAAATAACAACTCTTTTGAAGTCAGTACTATATATGAAACAACTAAACCAGTTGCCATTTTAAGTTTAAATATATTTGAAGAAAATCAGATTAATACTACAAATAAAGATTTCCCTGTTATTTTTGAAAATAATGATGGAGAAGTGTATCGTCTTGTTAGTGGAATTTTCATTAAAGGGTATTATGAGAATAATGAATATATCCTTTTGAAAAAAATTAATGAAGAAGAATTTGAGCTAAGTTCAAAATCACCTAATGGTGGTAAAACATTAATAAAACTTAATGAATTGTTAATAATGAGTGAAGGTAATACTATTATAGGAAATGAAAGTGAAACTGTAGTTCCTGCTATATTGGTTTATGAAAAAGACAATTGGAGTCATTGTGAGATGCCAGGAATTGAACAAGCAGTTAATGAAAATATTTATGAGCGTGATATTAAAGGACTAAAATATTCTACATGGTTGATATCAGATTTAAATACAGCACTTTTTGATATTGAATTAAAAATCTGGGAACAAACAAAATCCATTATATCATTCAAGTCTCCATTAAAATTAATGAACACACTTCTTTTATTACCTGAAGAACATCAAAAAGATATTATATTTCAAATTTTTTGTGTTGTTAGTAATTTAATTTATAAATCTTCTAAACCAAATGTTTCTACTCATATCAAAAAATTAATTTATTTATTTATCCAACTTACTGACAATGAAAAACTTCTTAGACTAACACTAGATGAGTATAACAGAATAAGTAATTTCCAAGAACTTACTTATTCTGAAGATTCATATTACTTTCAATCATTCTTAATTACTCTTTATATTAAATTGTCTTATTATGAATCGATATACTCTGAACTTT